AACCGCTAACTGCATGGTGAGATCAAATGATTCCAGGCTCAGGCGAACACAGTGTTGCAAGAATTTTCGCCATAGGGGAAATGGCATGACTTCTAATTGTGACTGGCTCAAAGTTAACCCTTAGATCATCTGTCTATATTATTTAACTTGGAATAGTCCAGATCTAAAATGTGCATGAAAGATTCTCTCTTTCATGCCTCTCATTGCGCCTGTCCCTCCTCGTCATAATGGCCAGAGAAACTTCTGTGTGCAAATTTGCACCTGATTTCAAACTTGTTAAAGATGCAGAAAGTGCAGCCACAAACCATTTGAGGATGATCGTTTTGATAATCAGCATACCCTGCATATTCATGAAGCTAGACATGTTAAATGTTAATCAATGTGCACCTGGTTAATAGGTAAGCTTTGCTGTCATTTTTGTAAACAAAATCATTCAGCAGATCAGGCACCTGAAATGTTAAATTAGGATTTCAAGTTTAAAGAAACATTTTCCAGGTGTGCAGGTGTCGCAGTGATTAGCGCGCACGACCCATGTACGGAGGCCTTAGTCCGAATCGGAGCTGTGGTACTTTGTCGCGTGTCTCTCCCCCTCTCTCATACCCCTTTCCTGTCAGTCTACTGTTGAAAAAGGGAGCCACTAGTGCAGCAAAAACTCAAACAAAAAAAAGAAAATTTTTCCTCAAATTAAGCTTTCTCTGTGGATGGACTTGAAGGCAAACGAGAGAAAATCTTAACAAGCAGCAGGAGCTCTGTTCCCCTTTTTTACCTGCCCTAAGGTCCAACTCATCAGCAAGACGGAGAGAAAGACTCATTAATTTGGAAAGGAAAGAAAGCAACATTTTTTTCCTTTGCCACATCTGCTGTGTGACATATGAATGAGTCATAGAGGACGCATTAACCTTTATACCAACATTTGACCCCTGCTCAAAGCAGCCCCTGAGCAGTCTGACCTCATCGTCTATCAAACAGCTGCAGTGTTCCGTTTTTTCGAGCCATTCATAAAACAAACGATGTTGTAATCCATCGAGTCCCAGATCTGGTGGGTTAATGAGTTAGGTCCCTTTAGCAACCCCCTGCTTGTGCTTGGTTGTCTGTAATTAGCATACACTGTGAGTGTTGCACGCACCACATTAACATGCAACCACAACAGCCTCCGAGTCCTTGCTTCTCTTCATCACTTCCCTGCACGCCTTCTCCCTCCATCTCTCATCACTTTACACATCTTGCTGCCAGAAACTGTCACCCTAAAGACGGGAAGAAAATTTCCATGGCTGGTAGCACAGCTGGATGGATGCATGGATTGAGAGATAAAAGGGAGGAGGGTGCGTGGAGGATGATGGCATACAACCCAGACAAAGTGGTGACAACCAGCAAGGTGAGGTGTCACGGATAAATGTCACCTGAGATTACCACACTGACATGTTAGTGTCTACTTGGAAGCCCTCAAGCTTGTACTTCCACTCCTCTTGTCAAACCAAAAGTCACTTTTTTCTTTCCTTTTCACTCCTTTGTATCCGTTTTGCTCTATTGCCATTTGTTCTATGCAGATTTCTTTCATTTTTCCGAAAGAAATTAAAATAATAGGTTTACAGGTACATTTTCAACCATGTTGCATTTTTATATTTTGTCAGGGAGGGAATTTTTTTTTTTATAAATCTCCTTTAAGGGTCAAACAAGACCAAGACAGAAGGTAATAATGACGGCCGGCTTGTCTGCTGTCCAGCAAATTAATTCAAACGATATACAAGAAGGTCATTAAAGGTCATTGCTAGAGATGTGGCTGTTTCCAAAAATAGTGATAGAAGGAAAAAATGTGGTTGAATTATTGAGCCTCTTTATGTCCTTATTGAAGCAAAAATACTAAATTTAAAATCAGATTATATCAAAGCATCATCAATTCTCTTTTATGGACTGCTTTTCCACATTTTGCACTGTTCGAGAACATCAGAGTGCTTCCAAAGTTCTCAGCTAGAGATCATGCTGCTGCTGCTGCTAAGAAGATTTTTTTACACGTCTTAACCTCTGCCAATGAATGAGGCTTTTCAATCTTTACTTAAGAAAAGAAATGAATTATTATTGCAGCAGTACTTAGATATTTAAAAGAGGAAGAAAAAATCTCCAGCTTAGCTTCAGCTCTAAACCATTTCTAGATTTTTAACAAATCCAAAACAATTATATCTGACACCGAGGAGAAATATGCGAGAGCTAGAAAAGGGTTCTCTCTCTCCCAAATGAGAATACTAAGCTGACAATACATTAGTTAGACTCAAGGTTTGGACTAATGGACAAAACCACGTATTAATATGCCAGATGGTCAAGTTATAATGCAATATGTGACAACGCTTTGCTGTGTGCCCACTCAGAACTCCACTTCACTGCACCTCCCAGGCTTTTGTCAGAACATGTCGTGTGCTTGACCCTGCAGCACTCTGCAGAGAAAAGCTTTCTCTCAGCTGTCTGTTAAAGCTCTTGGTTATTACTTCAGCCTTCACGCTTCCTCTTTCTGTCAACTACTGCTTAGATACTGTTATTTTTCTGGGGCTAATGTCACAGGTTCAGTGCAGTAATGGAGTGACATGTTGTTTGCACATGAACTTGATTTTGTGTGTGGTCTATCAAACACTCTCTGATATTTATTTGTTCGTAGAAAATGTACACCGAGCTATAAGTCTAGGTCAAAGACTTTTACAACCACCCTTCAATTGTTTTTACTTGTTTTGTTGTTGTTTTTTTCAGCATAATGTACCAAATTTCTCTGTCATCATGTCAGACTTTAGAAAAGAAAAGCTCAACATTATAAAACACTTAAAGTTACAGATGTGTGAATCTAGAAGTTTCAGGTAAAATTTAGAAAACATTGCACCACATCTTATTTTAAATGTTAAAAGTCTATTTAGTTCTGTGTATGTGGGGGTGTTTTTATTAAATCAATGGACATACCGGCACTGTTGAAGCCACAACCAAGGAAGAAACCTCGAACTTCTGGTGCCTCCCCCATCAGCGGCTTATGGTCGGCAGTAAAAGATTCTAATAAAAACAAAAAAAACACAAGTTCTTTATTCATCAAACATTCATTTTCAGAGCTTCTTATCTTTTATAGCATGTTTTTACTCTGGTACAGCAAGGCAAGCTTATTACCATAGCACAATTCAATACAAAGACAATTCAAGGTGCTTTACATGAATTAAACAGTAAAATAGGAAGAAAATAAAAGCAGAACAAAAATAAAGAGAAAACAACAGTAAAAACAGGTAGAATATATATATATAATCTTCAGCTATAACAACTATAAATATAAAACTCCATTAAGTATTCCTAGCTGATGTTTTTACATGTCTCTAGCTTTAAACCTGGAACCTTGCAGACACTGATGAACTGACAGACTGATGGATGGAAGGAAGGACAGATGGATGGGTGGTTTCCTGATTGGATTGATTGAAAGGCCAGATAGACATGAGCTGAACAGACAAGCAGAAGCCTGGAGCTATTTCACTGTATTTGCCAGCTATCTAGATATCCTTAAAATCTGTGGTGTCCAAAAGCAGTCTAAAGGCCGGTTTCCTGCACATTTTAAAAATTGGCCCCAAATCAGACAAATGGTTTATTAGCAGGCCTTTGTAGAGCAAGTGGACATTCTGAGAAAGTAATTCAACCTTTCGAATCTGGTGTATTTCAGCAAGCAGACAAGTTTGAAGTAAATCACTCCTAAAAGAATGGAAATGGACACCCGTGTTGTCAGAAATCATTTTCTGTAGACTTTCATTTTATTTTAATATCACTTTCCTAGTGTGAGCACCTCTAGCACCTCTACCATGAGAAAATTGAACACCAATTAATGTTCACATATGATGTACCGCCTTCATTCTGTTTAACAGATGCTAAAAGAAAGATACATGTGTCCATAAAAAATGTCAAAGTATGTGCAAGTGTGTATGAGTTTTTACCCGGTCCACAGACAGTTGACTTGATGCCGGTCTGCTCCAGAACAGGAACTCTATTTATAGCTCCCTCGATATGTTGCATAAATACGTCCCAGTCCAGGTCAAACAGGCTGAAGGCAAACTTATCAGACACCTGGGAAATAAAGACGTGTTGGAAATGGACCTTAACTAAAAGAGCAGATCAAAGAAGAAAATTAAACACACTGAATTTGTCCTTGTGCATTGAGTGAAGCCTTCATCTAGGCACAAGATCTGATACATCTGATATTTTACAGGGTACCACTCATATAATTCATAGTCCTAGTAATGAGATGCCAAAATCAGCGACAGGCTGGCTACCTAATAATAAAGTCCAGCATGTTATAATCACTGGATAAGGAACAGCTGAGCTATAGCTTTAATGCACCTCTCTAACTCACTCCCTGTTAAGTGAAGCAGAACTAAACTTTAATCCTAATTCCTCATTCAAAGCAGCAGTAACTGCATTGTAAGTGGAGTGTAGGCCTAGTGGTTAAAGTAGTGCGCTTGTCCTCTGAGAAGGTTGCAAGTACCTGGTTTGATCCACCCACTTTGGGTCCCTTAAAAAGGCTCTTAACCCCACACTGCTCCCCGGACGCTGCACAATGGCAGCCCACTGCTCCGCAAGGGGATGGGTTAAATCAAACTGCTGCAAAGGAATGTGCAGCAGTTTGATCAGATATACTTAAACATCTGAGGGAGGCAGCACAGCTTTCCAATTCCCTCCCAGCCTATCGGTCCTGCTTATCCTCACAATCTGCATCAATGTTTTCCCTCTAATTCTCTTTTCTGTATCGCCTCCTTCTTTCTCCATCCGACTTAAACATCAAAGGAACACTCAGCTGCAGAAGGAGAACAAAAGCAGCTGCCACCGCACAGAGAGATTCTTTCAAACATTAAATCTCAGAGGAGTGTGCTGACCGGTATGTTACAAAATGGAAGAAACTGATGAGGTCGGGCAAGAATCAACCAGATATCATCAACACTGAAAAAGAGACGCCTTTTGAACATGTTTCTAGCAACTGTGATTAGTACTGGTACAAGAACTGGTTCTTTAAAACGCTCAGAATTGTAGAGAGTGACTAGTTAAACAAACATATTAGACAACCTCGTACACTGCAAAAATTAAAAATCTCAATAAGTCATTTTTTCCTAAAATAAGTAAATTTTTTCTTCCACTAAGTAAGTGAGACACTTTGCCTATGGAACAAAACAATTTACATTCAAAATAAGAAAAAAATTTCAATTGTCTTATTTTAAGTGCATATTATCTAAGTATCTTGTTTTAAGAGTAAAATAACTCATTCTATTTGCAGATCATCTTATTTACCTGCTCAAACTAAGGCCAAATGCACTTGATTCAAGAAATTTACTTATTTCAAGATTCTTTATTAAGTGTAACAGTGCTTTGTTTTCTAGAGTTTAAAATAAATCATCTATTAAAGCAAAATACTTTCAGCTCAGAAGGTAAATAAAAAAGCTAAACCCCGTCAAGACAACTTTAATATTTCTTCTATACAGTTGCCAGGAGTTCATATATCTTATCTGAGGATTTGAATTTTAAAAGAAAATCTTTGGGAATAACTCACCAAATAAAAGACAAAGAAAAGTTATTTAGACTTCCTAAGTTTAATGATCTTTAAAGAAAAGGATTTGTGATTAACCATTTGCCTGTGAAAAATTTACAGACATGTTAAAGACATTAAAGTGGACATCAAGTTTGGACAGCTTCCATCGTTGGGTTTGTTTTTATAATTATGATAAAAGGAGAAACCTTAAAGCTGCTTTTTGTCATTATTTCTATTTTCATTTCATCTATTTCAATGATATCCCCTTCAGATGTACCATCTCAATTACGAGACATAAATATTGAAAACAGTGATAGAAATCATTAAAAAAAAAATAGAAATGAGCTTCCAATAGAGACACCACATATATGAGTATGTTACTAAGAAAACAGTTGATTAACAGCTGAGTTGGTTACGAATAAACGGATAAAATAGGAAATAAAGCTCCACAAAGGCACAAACATTAACATTCTTATGTAGAAATGTAAAACTTTTATACTTTGTAAGCTTCCAGAATTTTTCATACTTTTGTCTTCTTTGAACTTAAAATACAACCATTTGAAATCCTTTTCCACAATGGCTGCACTATAAACATCTGTACACCAAATTAATTACCATGAATATTAGCTAATTATTTTAGAACCATGCATTCAGATTACCTACAGCTGTATTATATTTTATTGCATCTATCATTTAAGTAACAAAGATTTTAGAAGGGAAAGCGATGAAATGCTGATCAAGTTTAAAACTGAGATTTTTTTTTGTAAAAAATTCCGAAAAGAAAAACATTGTTAAAATGTGAATAATTATTTTTTTGTTGAAAATAGGTTTTAACTAAAATCTTTATTAAAACATTCCCCATATTCATTCATGTTTTCTCTATTTTATGGCGGATATTTCTACTTTGGTCGGTTTCGCAGCATCAGATCTTCAGAGATAATTTTAGAACAGCAGATAATATGCAGGATTACCTCCTCCCAAAAGATGGGATTTTGCTCATATCCACCCACAGACAGAGCGTCACCTTGGAGACGCAGGTAGACCGACGAGTCATGGTCCCGAACATTTGGCATGTTCTGCAACAGGTGAAGAGAAGTTAAAAGAATCGCTGATTAGAACCAGAGATAGATAGAAATATACTCAGCTGCCAGCTTAGGGAACCTGAAGTAAACCTTTTTTTTTATATATTTAAATGTACCTAATCTGATTGGCCTTTGAAGTAATGGTGATGATTTTTATTTTCTTTAAAACACATTAAGGACTTAACACTTCAACTAAATAAGTGTGCAAAAAACGTCCAAAAATTGTACCATTTAATATCAGAAAGATGGGAACATATCTGTATATACTTTTTATCCTTTAGCAGGTCATCTTTGTGAAGCTTCTTTAAAACTGTATCAGTAAGGAGCCCAGATACAGTGAACAATTCTGGTAGGAGCGAAAACAAAAATAAAAATGAGATGAAAATGGTTGATTAATAATCAAAGGTTTGATTACTTCATACTTGCTCATAAACTCAACTCCTAGCCTTGTGATATTGGAGTCTCTGATGTTTTACTAGTTTTCTCGTATTGAGCTGCAATCCTGCAACTGCATTTTCCACATTTGCGATTGTCTTGAAATGCATGTTGCAAATCGTACAAATTATTTTGTAGATCTAAAAAATCTTGGATGCTTCTAATAACCTAGGAATATTTCCCCATTACATTCAAGCAAAAGATTAATTGTCTTGGCTTCTTCATTAAGGCTTCCTTTCTATGCGTGTTGTTTGGCCTGATTTGCTTACGGAGGTTTCAGCGCAGAAGAAAAAGCTGCGTAATATATGTCACAGGATTATAGGACATTTAAATCAAAGCTGCACATATATGAGGCAGTAGAACAACTTTTTATTATCCTTATTTTATCCACTGAATGCTGACTATTATGCAATGAGGTTAATCAGTCAATCATATCCCGAATTAAAGCAAATATGCTTGCATTCGTTGAGCAATTCAGCAGAAAGCTCAGGTGAATTTTCTCTGTTTGTCAAACAATGCAAATCAACCTTTTAATTGTTTTGCAATCCGACTGAAAGCTTCAAACATTAAATTCTGAAATTGAATAGATGCATTTCACTTTTGCATTGCAAAACATTTTCCTGCCCAAGTGATTTTTTTTGTAATTTTTTGTCTGTCAAAGCGGATTTGGTCTGCATTCATTCACTCATGATGACGTTTTTCTTCCAGGAATCCATCAGCTTTCCGGGGACAAAACCAAAATACCAGCGAGCAAGCTGACATTTTAGAACCTGATCACGACAAATAACAAAACTGGAACTGCTCCTTTGTCCTTTCCCTCCTCTGCACTCAGCTCAGTGTGGAAGCTCCATGTGATCGATACAGAATACTGTATTACTTGTGTAGTCACGGATATAAAAATATCCCCAGACCACCACAGCAGCCTCTTATTGACAAATACAGACACATAGGCAGCGGGAAGTTGACCTGTCAAGTTAGACACTCTGTTGGGAACAGATTTCCCAAGGACCAAGTTTGGTGTGTGGGCTGTCGTCTGCATGCAGGATGAAGAGGCAACTCTGGTAAGGTTTTCTAAAACTATGTAACACAGGGAAAATTGTATAGCCCACCCTTAAAACTAAGCTGTATTAAGTAAGTGAAGATGCCCTGAAACTGCAGTGACACACTGATGGATGCTGCAGAAGCACAGCCAGTGCAAGCACACATAATAATAGACACAAATTAACCTCAATTTAATTCTCCCACACAAACCTCACCACCAGCCCGGAAGAGATGGAATTTGTTTAGTCATAGTGACCCCTGGTGGTCATTTTGAAGTGATACAGGTTAAACTTCCACCTCTAAAGAAAATGTTAATGATGAAGAGTTCAAAAAGTTCATAAAGAAAATAAATAACATTTATGTTAGCAAGTGGCAAAATGACTTTTTTCCAATTTTTAAAATAAGGCGATTTTATAGATCACTCTTTATGTCATTATGCATATTTGATGAAGATATGAAATCACATCCCATACAATTAAAATATAAGTTACTTAAAAATACACATCCCGCTTCCATACATCTCCAGGTCAAAAGGTTAAACTTTTGATTTTAAACATTTAGGATTTTTAAGTGTAAAACATTAGCAGAGTTATAGTAAAAACATAAAATTTTAAAGTAAAATAAAAGAGGTTGTTTCAAATTCAGCAGCGCTGTTAATTTGACTTTTTTTATTGATCCCCTTAAAATCTAAAAACACTCCCACATCATTTGTTATCTTACGGACTATTTTATTAAGCAATTATAGTTTCATTTATCATGACCGTATAAATAAAAGCAACAATGCTTCTTTTAGGAACTGTACAACAAATCCAGTTTAAAACCTTAAGACCTGGCAAAGAAAAAGACGTGCAGAGATCCTTTGTGATTTGTGAATGAGTTTAGTTAATAAACCCAAATAAACCAACTGTGTATTTTTTCTTGTTTATTTTTTTTTTAAATGATCGGGTTTATTTTCTAGATAAAAAACAAAGTCTGAAAGCAATCCTTTCATAGGAGCGCTGGTTGAAAGCATTGCTATATAGATGCAGATTAAACATTAAAAATGCTTTAACTAAAAAAATGCAGAATATTTTGAACATGTGTAAATTGAAAAGGCCTCCAGAAAACATGTTACCCCTTCAGGGGCTTTGGTTTGTAAGAGGGAACAACAGCACAGCTAAGAGATGTTCAAAACCAGTCTGGAAAACCTGAAGGTAAGAAGTTCCCATGAAAAATATCTCAAATAATTAACAACATATTTATCCAGTATTTTATACAAAAAAAGGAAATGGAGACTGGCCCGAAGTCTAAACATATCAAGGGGATCAAATCTAAAAAAGCGACGCCTCTTTTTTTACACTGATGTTTGCATTATTTACTAAAAGAAACAATAATCACAAGAAGTCCTACCTGTATGCCCTCTATCCTCTCTGTCACTACATAAGCGTGATGCATTGCAATAAGAGGAACATTGACTCCAGCCATTTCACCAAGTTTGGTTGCCCACACACCTGCAAGTAATAACATAGCAAAATAAAATTTTTTATGCTTTCATTTTCATTCATAAAAACAGTATAATGTTGCATCCTTTTAATTTAAAACTCAAAACCCCCATCGTCTACAGATGCTGGCATCTTTCTAAGCAACATAAAAAGTGGTTCAGCTGGAGGGTTAAACTGTTCAGAGTCTTACCTGCACAGTTGACGACACAAGGTGTCTCAATGGTCCCATGAGCCGTCTCCACCGCCTTAACCCTCTTGACCCCAAGGTCATCTGTTCGCACTTGGATACCGGTCACAGGGCAGTTCTCGATCACCTGATTCAGACAGGCCAGTGTATTAAAGCAATACCTCCAGACACCTGACACCAATTTTTCATGGCTATTTAAGACTGTTCAGTTCATATCAGTCCAAAAACAAATATTAATTAGCTGTTGTCTTAATTGTTCTGTCATACTTTTGTAAGAGACCCTGCAATGGAAAAAAAAATTATAATGAAAACTTTTTTTATTTTGATAGATTTTATGATTTGCTGCCAGCAACTGCAACTATGGTAATTTAATAGGAAACGTATTGATTCATTTATGCCATGTACTCTCATGTCTGTAGGAAACAAATCTTAATGATTAGATCATGAGACCATTATAACAGGTAGCAGAAGCTGTATTATCTTAAGATAAAGGTGTTACTTTATTAATTTGTTTCCCATCTTGACGAAAAAGTTAAACTAGGAAATGTCATAAAGATATTGTAATAATGTAATCAGTTGCATCGATGGTTTGATCCTTTATTTTATACAGCTTATGGCTCTCAAACATCTGTAAATAACAAATTATGTCTCCATAAATTACAATGTTACTGAAAAGGTTATGCATTTACTTTTAGAATTTCATTGCTAAACTGCAAGAGATTTTCAATAGCATTCCAATTTTTTTTTATGTGCAAAACTGTTAAAAACTGAAAAATAAGCAGTTAGTAGATCAGCACAAATTACCGTGGCTCCTCTGGCTGAAGCTGCTCTGCTCAGAGTGGTACAGGTCCCTGCAGGATCCATGGTGCCGTCTTTGGGAACATACAGCGTTCCGTACAGATCATCAACGTTCATCAGTGGATAAAGATCCTTAGTCTCCGCAGGTGACAAAACGTAGGACTCGATGCCATAAACTTTACCCAACTGGAACACAAAAGGGAATTGGCTTATATTCAAGGCTTTGAAATCACGCATTGATTTGTGCACAACCCAAGGACTGATTGTGAAAAGCAAATAGAAATGGCTTTAAGCTACATGTCAGTTTACTGAGACATTGTTGCTTTTGATTTAAAAGTTTTGCTGTGATATAAAGTATGTGAACAAACAGTGATAATGAAAAAAGCGATGGGGTCATTGTCCAGGAAAAAGGATGTATTCAAAGCATTTTGAAATTTTACAAAAAACATATTGATTTATTTTTGACAAAAACTATCGCTTTATGAGTGATGAACCCATAGAGCTGTTGACACTGAAGTTAACAAAAAACAAAGACATGCTGACCGACTCTGCCAGTCAACCCTAAGCTGAGGCCAGTTATACGGAGTGCACTTATATCTGTATATAAACCAGGAAAATCAAACGCTATGTTTATTGAATTCTCAAACAAATCTCAGTTGAGCGTGCATCAATTAAAGCAGCAATAAGCTACATTTTATCACTAGGTGGGGCTATTGAGTGCTGTCTGTAGACCAAAACCAGGTGTGTGACAAGCTATGCATCTCTCCAGCTCCACTCCAGCTACAACCCCACCTTTCCCATCAGGAGAAGGATAAACACACAGCAAAACAGCATCAGTTTTGGGAGGAACATATCTAGTCAAGAAGTAACTACTATTTAATTTCAGCAAATTATCCTCTTCAGGTGATTTTTTCAATCCGCTAAAAGAGCTCTCCGCCATTTTGTTCCTAACTCCTGCTGCCCCCTCTGGGCAGGGAGGGTCTAAGCCATGAGTGACACGAACGTATAAGCATGCAGTTGCTCGTCTAGGAAGTATGAGACTGGAGAACGACACAGAAAGATGGTGTGTGACGTCACACCAAATTCCACCTTTACTACTTCAAACCATTTCTTAGTTCTTTCTGTCTTAAAAAAATCACCCCCAACAACGGGTTGCTAGGGACGAGGGATTGGTGCAAATTAAACAACTGGATAATTTTGCCAGTTGGATATGTTTGCCAATCTTTATAAAATTAACAGTAACGAAAGAGAGTTAGGATTATATAACGCAAATGGACTAAACTATATTTAATCTAAGTATGTAATTTTGATGGTCCTTTTTTCTGTATCATGTTTATTTCCTTTATCTTTTAGAGTATGCCAGAGGTTAGCAACCTTAAGATCCAAAGAGCCTTTTATAAATGGCTCTAAAACTTGCATATGGCCACAGCTCCTACATTACCTTTTTAAAAATGGAAAGTGATTATTAAAATGACATCTACTACAGGAAGGTTTTCTTTTTTTATTTCTATTTTAGGGTCTAAACAAAGAAAATGTTAACCTTAAGGATGCATATTTTATCCACAATTTTCTATTTATAAATAAACTGATTCTAAGCCAAATAAAAAAAAAAAAAAAAGATCTTAAAAATATTTCAGGTGTTTTTAACACCAATCTGCTTGAAAAATTCGAGAGAAAAACATGAATTAGTTATATCCACTTTGTATTCCAAACTATCAGTTGACTCTTTTTTTTTTTTTTCATTTTTACTGTAAGTCATCAAGAACCGAGGTATGAAGACCAAGGAGTCACTTGCAGACTATTATAATTTTATTTTTTATTTTTATATTTCTTTAGTTACGGTATGTATGAATCTGTTTGCTTCCATTTGCCTGTTTACTTTGCCACTGACACAGCTGGATGTTCCTGCTGTGGGTTAAAANGCATTTTAAATGGCAGTTTTTGGCGACAAATGTAGGCCTACAATATTATGTTAAAAACGTCAGCCACAGCCCTCAACATAATGACGTCATGTGTTTTCCAACCCAGCCATCAGCCCCCCTCGCTTGAAACAGCTTCCAGCGCGCCTGACTTTTGGTGTCGATCATTCGATTGCATCCTGGACACTACAGAAAATGGGCTTAAAGTGTAAAAAACCGAACTTCTCCTTTAATTTTTTACTTTTATATTTCTTTAGTTATGTATGAATCTATTTGCTTCCATTTGCCTGTTTACTTTGCCACTGACACAGCTGGATGTTCCTGCTGTGGGTTAAAAATATATTTATTTTCGATTCTATCCTACCTAAATATAGTTTAAACATTGTTGTGAAATGGCAATATTTATATAAACAGCATTGTAACAAACATAAGAATTAATTGCATGTTTAAGCAACTTCAACCATGAATGTCCAAAATGCTTGTATAATAAAATATTTGGCATGAAAAAGGTCTTTTTAGATGTTGATCAACAAATAAATTTATATAGCAAATCGATAAAAAAGCAAATTCTGCATTTTTTCTAAAAGTATTTTTAATTATTTGGATCTGGAATTAAGTAATTTCAGGATGAGGATAAACAATCATGAGACGAACTCCCTGCCCAATAATACCAGTTACCATGGAAACCTATTAAATCTGACATCAATCTGTTTATACTGCTGTTTGGTGACAGTGTGGGTTGAAATTGCCTTTTTGGATTGTCTGAATTTTGAATTTGATCACTCAAAAAAAATTAAAGAGAAAACACAAAATCCAAACACACTTTATAACTTTATAATATCAAAAAGGACCTAATATTAAATCCATTCATGGATTTAATTCAAGATATTCAAGAACTGAAAAGGAAGAGATGACTGTCCGTACCGACATGAGGCGCTTGTATTCATCCAGTCTCTGCTTGTTGGAAGCGATGAAGAGTCCTCCATTCTGGATCCAGCCAGTATGGAGGCCTGTCTCCTCTTCCAGGTCTTTGCTAATCACATTTCTGGTGTGGGCCAGGAGCTCCACCTCCACGTCACTGGGACGGAGCTGCCACAGCAGGCCTGACAAGGCAGACGGCCAGATTAGCTGACAAACAGTGACAATCAGAGTACAGTTTTGTGATTGAACACAGGAATGCACTATGAGGCAATAGAAACTCTTACTAACAGCTCTTAAATCTGGGAGTCTGTTGTCATTACCTGCAGTATGCCAGGTGGTGCCAGCAGTCAGCCTGTCTCTTTCCAGCAGAACTACATTAGTCAACCCCATTTTGGCCAGGTGGTAAAGGGTCTGACAGCCGAGACTGCCTCCTCCGATCACAACCACATCGGCTGACCTGAGGGAACAGGAAGCAACAACATTAACAACGCTACACCTAAAACTTTACTCTCTCATCAAGAAGGATCAGCCTTTTAACTTATTTGTTATAATACAAATTATCCAGAGCAGATACAAACTATATGAATATCTAAAAATAAATATTATAGACAATAAAAAAACATCTATTTAACAACAAAACTTTGTGTTTCAAGCTTTATTTCAACAAATGTATTCCTTTTTTCATTATTTTTTCCATTCAAGCTAACCTTGGTAACGGCTTAGTGGGTCCTGAGGAGGATCCTTCCACCTGTTTCAGTGTCTTCTCATAAGGGACGCTCTTTTCACTGGTGTGCTCTGTGCTGTACGAACGACAACTTGCCCGACATAGCGGAGTCAGAGGGGGCCGCACAGCTGATATCAGGCGCCGGACTGCAGTCCCAAGGTAGGCCATCACCTCTGTGAAAGTGACAGACCAGAATCAAAAAGCTTAAAAAATAAATGTTCTAAATGAACTATTGTTTTAGTTTGAGTTGCACAAACCATGAACGGTCAAGTTTTCAACAAGGTAAACAGGCTGTAAAAAACAAATTGTTTCTGTCACATCATTCCTATACTTTAAAGTCATTTAATCAGACTTTTTTCTGCACACTGCCACCAAGCTGGCTGAAATAAGGCCAGTTTCAAGAGGCTAACCTTATTTACAGGTGACAAACTTAGAGCTTCACATCTGTTAAGCTGCAGACTCATCAAGAAGAATCAGCCTTGTAATGTTCCCATCAGCAATCCCTTATTTTCGTCATTTCTTGTTACTTAGAGAGAACAGCAATACTGTTTCCTTTTCAGCAAAAATGTATTTATTTGTTATTAAAACAACTGAATTTAGCAGGTATTTATTCTAGATCAGGGATGCTCAAGTACA